GGAGCTACCACCTTGTGGGTCCACTGCCAGCCATCTGGAAGTGGACCTGGAGCCAAAAATGAATCTGTTGGTCAGAAGAACCAGCAGGTGGGAAGATGAGCTATGGTCAATGCTTCACTTCTGCCTCCCAAGTTTTATACAAGTTCTTCTTTTGGCCAACCCTACCCTGGAACCATAGAGGGAAGGGGACTCTGGGAAACTAATTCCCAGCTTAAACAATTTGATAATACAGCAATCCAGCACATTTTATTGTGGCTTTTAAATCAATCTCTGCAAAGTCCATGGTTAGAAGTGGGCCTCCTTTTGCCGGAAAATCCACAGCCACTGACGATGAAAGGCCCATGAGCACCAGGAAAAACTGTTGACACTGCTCCTCTGTGTGGGCCTCCATGATGTGTTTAATCAAATGTCAGCAGACAGTCTGTAGGTGGAGGATAAATATCCATGCACAGACTGGCTCTGGCCCTGGAAGGTGCTAGGCTGACTCCACACCTCTCCACATCACTACCCTGTTCCTATCCTCTCATCTTAGCACCCTTATCCCCAGCTTCCTTGATCTTTTGATGTCAATTCTCAAGTGCTTATTTGGAAAACAAAAAGTACTTCTCACTGGTGATTTTTATTTTCTTTGCATATAGATTTAGAGGCAGTGTGGTATTGCAGTTAAGAGCATGGTCTCCTAAAGTCACATTTTCTGTATTCAAGTCTTAGGTCATTACTTATCAGCTGTGGAACCTCGGCCATCAGTTTTTTCATTTGCATTAATAAAACAGGGATAGTGTTAGTACCTATCTTATACAGTTGATGAGAGGATTAAAGGAATTGATATGTGTCAAGCACTTAGAAATGAACCTGTTTAGGTACTTTCATTTTCCTTATTTTCCATGACTAGCTAGGGGAAGGGATCAGAAATCAGAGAAAAAAAAAGAACAAAGGTTAAATCTGTCTTTATAACCTAGAACTGGTCTAATAAGGTAACCAGTAGATACATGTACCTATTTACATATCTAAATTTAGATTAGCTAGAATTAAATAAAATTAAATATTTGGTTACTCAGTCACTTTAGCCGCATGTGGCTAGTGGCTACCATGTTGGACAGCTCAGATGTAGATTTCCAATATCACACAGAAAACTTTATTATACAATGTTGGTCTAGATTTTCAAGAGGACTGTTTAACCTACTGACTATCCAAGCTGTTTTTGAAGACTTGAATTAATGTATATGAATAACATATTAATTAAACTTCAATGATTAGAAATAGTCTTTATTTAATGATTGTATATTTTTCTTATCTATTCTACTAAGGCATTACCCAATGGGATTTGATGATGCTTTGAAGCAAATTCCCAGTACTCAAGTGAAGGAAACAATAAAAATGCACAATGATATTTTCAAAACGTTCTTATTATTGTCACAATTTCAGAATGGCCTTCCCAAAGTTTGTGAGATTTTATCATGCATGGTCTCTACTCTTGTAAGGCAGCAGTCTTTAGAGACGTTTCCTAATGAAGAAGAGTGATTATAGAAAAGCTAAAACCAACAGTGCGATAGCTGAATTCCTCTCATTTCTATTAATAGCTGGTGAATTTTACCAACAACTATTTGCTCAAGTAATGGAAGCAGAGAGCCATAAGAAAAGTTTACAAGCATTGGGTTGCATTTGAAGATCTCAGCAAAAATATAAATGTATCCTCCCAGTGACATATAAATAACCCAGAGTTCCCTCATGCTCAGTCTCAAGGAAATAACTGGCACACTCTAGTGATCCGGTATGACAAATCACTGTGGTCAGAATTGTTGCTCCAAAACCACTTTTATGCATTGCTGGTGGGAATGCATATTTGGTGCAACCTCTTTGGAGGACAATTTGGAAATATGTGTCAACACTTTTAAATACTTACATCCAGTGATGTGCTGTTGTGTTTGTTGTATAACAAATAATTTGATTGGTCTTTGGCCCAGGTTCCTGGGACAAAACCTCTAAGCCCTTGGAATTTTCTGAATGACAAATAGGAGTGTCTTTTTTTATCCATGCTGAGCTCCTGGGACCACACCTGAGTTTATGCTAATAAGGTGACTCAAGGTGGGCTCCTACATAGTTTCAGAATAGGGGTTGGCCATGCCAGAAAAACCAATCATATGATTAAAGGGTTGAGCTTTGGGACACCTGAGATTCGTTTACAATCTCCTGACTCCCAAGGGAGGGATGAGGAAGGGGGTGGATAGAGATTAAGTACAATCACATGGCAAATGACTTGATCAATCCTGCCTACATAATGAAACTCAAATTGTAACTCTGGACACCTGAAGCTCCAGTGAGTTTCCTGATTGGTTAACACAATGATGTGCCAAAAGGGTGATGCATCTTGAAGCCACAGGGTGAGGACACAGAAGCTTCACATTTGGGACCCTCTCAGGTCTCACCTATGGGTATCTTCATTGGCTGGTCCTAATTCATATCCTTTATAATAAAGCTATAATTATAGATGCAGCTTTCCTGAGTTCTAAGAATCATTCTAACAAATGAATTATCAAACCTGAGGGAACTGTGGGAACTCCCAAATTTGTAGCAATTTGTCAAAAATGTGGGTTACCTATTGATTCCTGAACTTGTGGCTGACATCTGAAGTGAAGTAAGTCTTGTTAGGGACTGTTCCCTTAACCTTTGGAGTGGGCTAACTCTGGGTAGTTAGCATCAGAATTGAATTACAATATTGCAATGTTTGACAACCAGCTCTCCAGGAGGGAGGGGGGAAGCCCTAAGCCCTAGTTTGTGGTGTTTGCATATTTTCATGATATAAATGCTCCCACTGTGGCCAATAGCAAGTTACCAATGTGATGTCATTGATTATGGAGTTGGGAAGAGATGCAGAGAAATCAGCTGCTTGTAAGCCTGTGTGAATTAACTGTAGCATACTCACACCATTGCTTATACCTTTTGACCAAGCAACACCACTTCACAAAATTCATCTAACAAATATGCTGGCACAATTTGCCCTTCGTAAATGTGTACAAGGATGTTCATTGCAGCATTGTTTGTATTCATAAAAGATTAAAAACCAGCTACAGACCCATCAATAAGCTTAAGCAAATCATAGTGCATCAATAAAATGAAGTGCTATGCAGGCTTTAGAAAGAATGAGGCAAATCTACACCAATATGGAATAATTTGCAAGATATATCATCAAGCAAAAAATAAGGGAAAATGCAGAATAGTCTGTATTCTGTCACCATTTGGTATAACATGAAGTGGAACATATATTACAAATACAGTCTATCTTGGGGAAGGAAGACACAAAAAGTAACAGAGGTAGTTTCTGGAAAGGTGGATGAGGAGATTTGAGTGAGAGGAACACTGTTTTTTACAAAAAAGGCATTACATGCCTTTTTGTGCTGTTCGAATTTCTATGATGTCTATTTAAATAAAGTGATAGGCAATAATGGAGAGAAAGTAGGATAATGGAAATGAATGACTGAATACATAAATGACTGAGTAAGCTCTCTAAACAAAATGGCCATAGCTCTTTCATCATAGTTAATGCATCTTCCATCAACCTCTGTACACAACTCTGTTCTTACATCTGCTTGAGGGAAAGGATGACAGAGTTCAAAGAAAAACTGCAACGCACTTTCTCTACCAGTGAAGTCAAATGCTGAAAGGCCCATAAGAGCCAAGGAGGCACCATGAATGCATGAAGTTGTCCATGTGGGGACTGTGCTGAACTGAAGGGCTCCTGCCACTAATTGAGAGGAACCATGACTCAGCTACAGCAGCCCTTGTTCTACAGACATGTAGACTCAGTGTTGCCAGATCTTTTGATTTTTCAAAAAAATTCAGAAATTCAAAATAGTATGTGAAATCTCTTCACCTTTTTGAAGTGAGCAACTAATACCAATCTTTCAATGAAATAATGTGGACCAAAGAAAACCCATTATAGCTTTATATTTTTAAAGAGGACATCACATTTCCATCCATGAAATACAAGACCTTGCTTTAAGCTGAGTTTAGATGAGTGGTAAGCATTTGGATTTAGTGTTCTAAGGAAAGGGATTTTATAATTTTTCCCCAAGTCCAAGACAATGAAATAAAATGATGGTATTTATAAGGTCAATTAAGTCTGAAACCTGTTCCTTAAAATCTATGAAAAGCCTGTCAAGCCTATATAAAAGTGAGGGGTGGGGGTGTGCAGAAAAGAGCTACAAAGCGGTAGCAAGGCAACAGGAAGGGAGCCAGAGAAGGGAGCCTGGCAGGGGCAAGGAAAAGAGAGGATTACACTACTGATTCGCCCTAGGAGGGTGGGAAAGAAGCCAAAGACATGAAGTCCAATCATTATACTGGTGATTTTTTTTCAATGGGTTTTCTTGTTTATTGACCTGCCTTTCTGAATCCCCCGTGTTTCCCTTCTAATTTGATTAGAATTGTCCAAGTCCATCAATATCAGTATTGTGACTAATTTGTCTCTACTGACTTAGATTCTCCCAGCAACTGTTGGCTGAAAGTGTGCTGATTTCTTGCTGCTCTAGCTTTTTTAGAATCTTGGCTGCAAGCATGTCCATGCTTCTACAGAAGTTTACGCCCATAAGTGTTAAGCAAGCCCAGATAGAGGTGAAATTAATGGTGGTGTCTGTGTTACTGTAGAGGGGGAGAAATAAGTGGCATTAACAACAATGACGGGGTTGGTGGTAGCTACCCTCCTGAGCATTTATTATGGGCAAAGGTGCTTTATGAGGGAGAGAATCAGAAGTCTCACCTCATTACTACATCTAGATCCAAGCCCAGCATCTCTGAGGAATGCATATTTCTCTGAGTTAGGCCCATGCATAAACTTCTCAGAGTCTACCAACATATGGCTGCATAAATTTAAATATTTCCAATACACCATACTCAACAGAATAATAGTAGAAAGAAGATAAGCTAGCTACGGTAGACTCCTTTTGGGACAAAAGCAAATAGGGAGAACAGTTCAGAACAATTGGCCCTTAACATATGCTATATCCAGTCAGAGAAGACTGGCACTAATTCCCATCCATGGCACTGAAGGGATGTTCTTGGTCAGCCAATCTGGCTTCCCCTGGTTCTGCTAACAAAAAGGACTTCATATAGGAAGGTTATGTCTTGTTTCCTCTTATAAGACCCAGCTTGGACTAAACACTTCCCTTTCTTTCAGAACTTTCCCAAAGGCTACAAGAATGAGCTAACACACTCCAAGACTGTGACATTTTTTCTACGTGAGTCAAGGCTGAACTTCCATGTTATTGTCTCCTGTCTACAGAGCAGGAAGCTAAGACTCAGAGAGATTAAATAACAATTCTGATCAGTAAAAAGCAGAGCACAGACATGAATAAGTTTATCCTATTTCAAAATTATTATTCTTTTTAAAATTTCATATTTATTACTTTTTTATTTCTAACTACAAAAGTAAGTACATAAGCATGATGGAAAAATTGGAATATACAGAAATGTCTTTTATATGTCTTTTCAGTCTCTCAGAGCACACAAAAACACATGTAGTATTTCCTCAGGATCGGTCATAACTTGTTCTTTCCACTTCTCTACAAAGGTACAGAATTCTCACCCTCAGGCAGGAAGAACAGCCCCAAGAATTCCAGGTTGCCAACAGTTTATTAATCAAGTGAAAGCAAACTCAAAATTTTCTCAGGTGAGTTTATATTTCACTGTGTTAATTTTCAGATAGCCCATTACAATTTAGTAATACATGCACAAGATTAATTGAAATTTAAAAATATTTCTGTTTTGTACCTGATTTCAGAAATGGTGCTAGAGTATAATGAATGCAAAGTCTACCTAAAGAACGAACAATCCCAGCCATCAAAGAGACAATCAATAGAAATAAAATAGAGTCCAATATCCAATATTCATCCATTCATTTATCATTCAACAAGTAATTTTGAGTACCTGTCATGGGCCGGACTTTGTTTTGGGACCCAAGGATAAAACAGTAAACAAACAGACAAATTCCCTGCCTTCAGAGAGCTTACACTCCACTAAGGAGAAACTGACAATAAATAAATTGAGAAAATATCAGGTTGTGATAAGTACTGTGGAGAAAAAATAAATCAGGATAAAGGGATGGAAAGTGCTGAGGAAGGAAGTTGCTCTTTTATGCTATGTATTAGCTCAGAATGCCATAACAAAATATCACAGACTGGTTAGCATAAACAACAGACATTTATTTTCTCCCCACTCTGGAAGCTAGAAGTCCAAGATCAGGGTTCCAGCTGATTCCGTTTCTGGTGAGGGGGGGTCTCTCTGATTGGCTGATGGCCAAGTTCTTGCTATATCTTCACAAGGCCTTTTTTCAGTATTTGCTGGAGGAGGGAGAGAGAGTGAGCTCTCTGGATTCTCTTGGAGCGGTACATGCATTCAGTCCGTAACATACAGGTTATTCAGAGAAGACGTCCCTGATAAGATGTGGTAGTTAACTTTCAGGATGACCCTCAATGGGCCTTATCTTCTGGTGTTCACACCCTTGGATAGTCTCTTCCCAAATAAATTAGGACTGGTCTCAGTGCGATAGAGTCGAGGGCTGGTATCAGTGCAATAGAGAAGAGCAGAGATTAAGGTATTTCACCTCTGAGGCTGGGTCATAAAGGGCACCAAAGCTTCCACTCTGTTTTTTTGGACCACTCTCTCTGGGGCAAGCCAGTCTCCATGGCATAAGGACACTCAAACACCCTTGGGAGAAGACCACGTGGGAAGGAAATCAGACCTCCCACAAGAGTACTAATTTGTCAAACATGTGAATGAGCAAGCTTGCAAGTGGAACCTCCAGCCCCAGTAAAACCTTCAGATGACTGCAGCTCCAGTAGAAGTTGGAACTCCAACCTCACTGGAAGCCCTTAACCAGAAGCACTCTGCTGAACTGCTTCCAAATTCTTGGCCACAGAAAAGGTGAGATAATAAATATTTGTTGTTATTTTAAGCCACTAAGTTTTGGAGCAATTTGTTATGCAGCAAGAGAGAAGTAATGCATAAAGTGACATTGAGAGACCCAAAGGAAATAAGCTAGTAAACTCTGCATGTATCTGGGAAGGAAGACTTTCAGGTAGAAAGAAAGTATTAAAGCCACACAATTAGAGCACGTGTGGCATATTCAAAGAACAACAAAGAACACAGTGAGCCAGAAACAGAATAAGCCAGTACAAGAAACATAGAAGACTGGTCAAAGGGGAGGTGAAAGGTCAGAGCACACAGAGTCTCAGGCGTCTGCAACCCAACCACAATAATGTATAAAGAAACATTCACTCGGGAACAGCATCTTATTTGTTTAGGTGAAATATTCTGATAAGCTTTTACTTTCATGTCATTGGATCATATCAGCCACCTTAATGATATCAACAATTCTCATTAACAGACAATTCTTGTTTGTATGTTTACAACTCCCAAATTCATATTTCCAGTCTAGACTTCTCCATGAACTTCAGTGTTTCATACCCAAGGGCCTAGAAAACATCTCATCTAGAATGTCTAATGGGCGTCTCAAACTTATTGTGTCTAAAATCAAATTTCTGGACTTTCTTCACCTCACCCTCAACCTCTGAAAGTAAAAAAAAAAAAAAAATCCATTATTTCAAATACTCAAGCCAAAAACCTTTAAGTCTTTCTTTACCCTCCTCTTTTTTTCCTCTATATGCCCATCGAAAAAAGTCAGCAAAGTCTATTAACACACTTTTAAAAATGTATCCACAACCCAATACTTCTTACCACCTCTATCTCAATCACCCTTCTCCAAGCCACTGCTATTTCTAGTCTGGATTATGGTATAAGCCTCTAACCAGTCCCTACAACCACGCTTTTCCTGCTATAGTCTACTGCCAGCTCAGTAGCCATAAAGAGATTTGAACATACAAATCAGAGCATGTCATTTCCCTGCCCCAAATCCCCCAATGTGTCCGCATGTTGCTCAATGTAAATACGAAAATCTTCATAGGATAAGTCCCCTCAGGATCTTGCCTAATTATCTTTCCAAACTCATCTCCCTTGATTCTGGCCCTTGCTCACTCAGTTTCAGCCACCATGGCCTCCTTGCTGTCCTAGAAACAAGCTAGGCATACTTCTGCCTCAGAAACTGTGTGCCTGCCGTTCCTTTTGTCTGGAATTCTCTTTCCTCAGATATACCCAAGATTCACTTCCTTACCTCCTTTAGTCCTTTGTTCAAATATTACCTTGTCAGCAAAATCTTCCCTGACCACCCTGCAAAAATTGCAGCGCCCTCTCCAGAATCCCTTAGCCCTTGTTTGTCTTATTCTCGTACATAGCTCTTATCATTATCTGATATATTATACATTTGAATTATTTATTGGTTGTATTTATTTATTTTATCTCTCTCTGATATGGTTTGACTGTGTCCTTACTCAAATCTCATCTTGAATTGTAGCTCCCATACTTCCCACGTGTTGTGGGAGGGACTCAGTGGGAGACAAATGAATCATGGGAGTGGTTTCCCCCATATTGTTCTTGTGGTAGTGACTAAGCGTCACAAGCACTGACGGTTTTATAAGGGGAAACCCCTTTCACTTTGCTCTCAAGTCTGTCTTGCCTGCTGCCATGTAAAAGTGCCTTTCACCTTCGGCCATGATTGTGAGGCCTCCCCAGCCACATGGAACTTTGAGTCCATTAAACCTCTTTTTCTTTGTAAATCGCCCAGTCTTGGATATGTCTTTTTCAGCAGTGTGAAAACAGACTTATACAGTCTCCTTCCACTAGAATATAAACTCCATGTTGGTAAGGATTTTTTATTTGTTTTGCCCACACCGTCTCCTCGGGTCTTAGAACAGTGTTTGGCACATGGTATGCGCCCAATAAACACTTGCCAAATAAATTAATTAGCCCCGTAGAGTGGATGTAAGAGCCTCCAGCATAACCCTAATCCTAACCCTTTCAACACCCCCACCATGATGAAAGATGGTGGATAACTTGCTATGCATAAGATAATGAGAAGAACTTGAGATGCTCTAAAAAAATGAAGAAAAGAAAAATGAAGGCAAGATGTAAAGAGAAGGGCCCAGCATGTCTGGGGTCTGCATGGGAGGATCCAGAGAAAGTTATTCCCTTGGAAGTGGCCCAAAAGATTGGGGAAATCAGAAATATTTTAGGTGACTTTCAAACTAGTTTGCTGTGGTGTGTACAATATAAATCTCAATCCTCCATCTTCTCTACAAAAGGTTTATTCTAATTTTTCGTTGCTTGTTAATGCTTGTGAGGGGCGTTCTTGTCAGGAAAGTAGAAGACGATTGATTAACTTCTACATCCAAGCTGGCAGAGAGTCAACATGTTCAGATGCAGAAGTCAAAGGCCAAGAGCGCAGCTGATATCTGAATTGCACATGCCGACTTTAACCTTGCTGTATATTTCCTTGACTGGCTGCTGTTGAGTAGAATGGTGATTTTAACAAGGACCAGGGATTTTAATTAATCGGGCACCATTCACTGTGGCTCTGGGCCAATTCATCTTAGGGCAGCTGCTTTCCTACACATTCTTCAATTCATACTTATAATTATTATCAATAGCCACCACATCCATACACAGTGTGCCAGGCAGGACAGCCTGGATGTGATCTCTGAGTGAAAGTATTTCGTTTCTGACTATTTGAATCATTCAGTCCTAAAATCTTACTCTCCCACCTTTTTCTAATTGGGTTCGCTTATTTAAAGTGGGTAGCCATTCAAATTTGCTTCTCCACTAAGTTTTGCTCAAGGCTGTTCTTTAAGAGTGCTGCAGACAGAGAAATTTCTTTGAAGAACAACGGAGGTGGTCATTTCCCCTGGAGAAGGGCCAGAAAATTAAAATATGGAGATAAGAATCATGTTATTGTATATTGTTCATATAAAATCACATTAAGATAGTGCATACAATGATAGTTAGACCTATTCACAGAGGGAAAAACAATTGTGTGGGCTAAAAGACTTGTTCACAAAAGCTATATGGTTTTAAAATCTACATCCTATCTAGCTAATTTTATCTTCCATTGTTTTATTCTCATTATATTTCATTGAGTACAAATAGCATGCCATAGGCTGAGACAGCCATAAGGCTCCTTTGACTTCTGGGCTTTTCTTATTTAGAGCATCTGTTTATGCCCTGAAACTCCAGGTTATGAGCAACCCCTTTCTCACTTCTTCTTACCCAGCTTTGCTAATCACCAAACCCTCTTTCCTCTAGGTATAGATCCTAGAGAGACTGTTATTTTTTTTAGCCCCCCTCCAAAAGAATTTTTCACTCTCCAGGTTTTCTACAGGTAAAAAGGTTATATATAACCTTTTCAAATCTCTCACATTTTAAAACTCTATTTAATTCAAATAGCATAAGATTTTTTAAAAAAAAACAAACAAATAATGCCTTTGTTCCTAACTAGGTGGACAAGAACAGGGACTAGTAATAGTATCTATTAGGTAGAAGTTAATAAAACTTATTAAACCCAGGTCAGCACAGCACTGTTGGGGTATATGATGGGACATGGAAGAGTTCCACACGTCCCATACTGATTCTCTATTTTCTGGCCTGTCATATCCCCGCACAAGCAATGTGCAAGCCCTAGGTTTGCACAAAAATTTACTGACTTAGAGGTGGACAATTAGGCCAAAAAAAAAAAAAAAAAATGGAACAGAACAGATAGCTAAGAAACAGATGCATGGACATTTGATGTGTAATAGACGTGGCATTTCACAGAAATAGAGAAAGACAGTCATTGAATAAATGGTGTTCGAAAAATTGGTTGTCTACATGAGAAATTTGAAATTGAATACCTACCTTACATCATGCACAATAAATTCATTCCCAATTTATTGAGAATTTAAGAATTCAAATGCAAAAGGCAAAACATTCAAACTTTTAGAACAAAATAGAGGCAATA